AAAAAAACGTAACGTGTCAATACAACACCAGCATGGTGGCTGCGACTTTTCCAGAGACTGTATATAAGACGTGGACGAGGTTTGTGGACAGCTCTTTTGAAGCCTCAAGTTTGGCCATTAGGGCGCCGCCATGTTGATTTTTTGCAACAAGCAACCGGACGTGACCATATTTAGGCGAGACGGCGGAGCTAACGGCCATGTGTGGCGCTTACTAGCTTGCTTAGCTAGGTGCATCTGTTATTCACATTAACTATCATTTTAACAGGGCTATCAATTTTGTCAAGCAAACAACAGTCTTAAAACTGAATGTACTCATCAGAGAAAGTGAACAGCCAACTCCTAATAAGCCTTTTCAACGGTGCTGGTTAAATTTATACAGTACTATACAGTATACTCAAGTGAGAAGTAGGGTCATTTTACCATTATTTCTAATGGAACCTGACTTCTTTTTGCAACTAGAAGAGTCGCCCCATGCTGGCCATTCAATTGAATGCAGGTTTAAGGGACTTCTGCATTTATATCAGATCACTGACCGGAAGCTTCCCGCTTGGCCTTTTTACACAGACATCGACGAAAAGGAGGCTTAAGCAGAACATGAAAAAATTAAAGCTGCAAGCAGCGTTGGGAGGGCCCTTGCACGTGTAGCGCGTCGAGGTGTGAGGCGGACACGTTTTGTCAGAAACGGCTTACTTCCTGTTACCAGTGGGTGGCGCTATGATGTTGATTGAATATTTTCATGTAGATGCGTTCAGGACGGGACTGTTATCAACCATGTAAAGTTTGGTACAGATCGGAGCATGTACACTAAAGTTATAATAACTTCCTGTTTTATGGCGAACTGATCTTTGACACCACCCCACGGACACGCCCATCGGCAAAAACAACTTTTCACCGTGACCCTTATCAAATCTGTGAAATCTGGTAGAGATATGAGCATGTACAGTGAAGTTACAACAATGTCCTGTGTCATGGCGAAGTATCGAACTTAGACGCCACGCAAAGGACACGCCGTTATCCGAAAACTCACAAACATGGCATCATCAATGTCTTAAGGCTCTTCTGAGACTGTTTTGAAGCAGGTGAATCAAATATGGTGGGAGTAGTACATAACAGGGTAAAATTTGACACTTCCTGTTGCCAGCAGGTGGCGCTATGACATTGTGTGTTTGTTGGCATATGGATGTGTTCAGGGCGGAACTCTAAGCCTACATGTACAGTTTGGTGCAGATCTGAGCATGCACACTGAAGTTACAACAACTTCCTGTTTCACAGTGAATCATCGATTTTGGATGCCACGGACACGCCCATTGACAAAAACTCACAGATAGCACAACTTTGACGATGAGTCAATGCCTTTAGAAGGCACAGCAGAATTTTGAAGTCGATCCGACTAAATCCCTAGGAGGACGGAGTGTGAAAATCATCCGTAAAATTCAAAATGGCTGACTTCCTGTTGGGTTTAGGGCATCACTCCATGAGACTTTTTGGTACGTCTGGAAATGATACACGTGCCACAGAAATTTCATACATCTAGGTGAGTCGTGCCATAGAGGCTGCTTTGTTAAAAGGTCATTTCCTGTTGCCAGCAGGTGGCGATATGACCATGGGTATATGTTGGCATGTACATGTGTACAGATCTGAGCATGTACAGTAAAGTTACAACAACTTCCTGTGTCATGGCGGAGTATGGCATTTCGCCGCCACACCACTGCCAAGCCGTTAACCAAAAATTCACAAGTTTTACAACAACTTACAATAACTTCCTGTTCTATGGCGAATCATCGATTTTGGATGCCACGCCACGGGCACATCGTTTCATGAAAACTCACCGTTTGCACAACTTTTAATTGTCAATGGGTTTAGAGTGCACAGCGAAAATTTGAAGTTGATCGGATTAATTCTCTTGGAGGATGTTAAAGTATGCATCCTTTAAATGGTATAAAATGGGTTAAAATTGCATTGCAATTAAAAATGGTGGACTTCCTGTTGCGTTATGGGTGTGGGTTCTTGAGGCTTTTGTGTGTGTCTTGATATATGTCCCCCCAAAATTTTGTGCACGTAGGTTGAACGTGGCAGAGAGGCAAATTCTTTTCCAATTTTGTAGGTGCCGCTAGCGAGCCTTTTTGCCACGCCCATGCGCAGGACCCATAAAATATGTAATTTTTCGCCACTCTTGACATATTTGCAAAGTTTGGTGAATTTTCGAGCATGGCCGCCAAAAATGAGCTTACTTTGCAGACAAAGGAAAAAAGAAAAACAAAACCCCTTCAATTTCAATAGGGACCTCGCACAGTTCGGGCTCAGGCCCTAAATATGGAAAACAGAAATAACCTATATTCAATGATCACTGGAGCAGTGCTGAGGATGAATTTGTGTTTAAGAGCCTGATAGCTTGGGGGGGAAAGCTGCTCTGCAGTCTGGTGGTGCGGCAGCTGAAACTATCTCTCTTCCCAGAAGGCAGCAGGGTGAACAGGCTGTGGCTGGGTGGGTACTGTTCTTTAGTATCCTTTGGGCTCAGTGTAGGCACCTCACCTCACTGATATCACTGATTGGGAGATGGGTACCAATCAAGCGGCAACCTTCCGGTTTCCGGAAGTTGTGCTCCATTTGTTGAGTGAAATTCTAGTATTTTATTTATGCAATAATTAGCAGTCGTAAAGTAATGTTAATGGCCCACCTCATCAGCTACCTGATGTTATGCAATGTTAATGGTACACTTGCCAAATAGCCAGTTAGATAAATGTAACAGAGTCACTGTGTCACTAAAATAAATGTCTCCACCCGGACTGAGGGACAGGGTTGAGGGGGAAGCGGCGGTGGTTGCGGTTGTCGTGTCGGAAAAGACAGGTAACTTAGCTGGGTGTAATGGCCATGTTCCTGAGTTGGGTAAAGTAATTAGTTATATAGAGAAATAAGCTGTATGACAGCCGCTTCTGAGTTTGAGTCTCCAGCTGCATGGATTTTTAACCTGTGAGGCCCTGCTCACATTCAAGAGTCAAGCCCTTTTTTGTTTTTGTGTAGTAGTACTTTTGTGACAACCCAAAGGTGCATTAAAATTCTCAATAAATATATATCGAGTAATACTAGTTCAAAAGTAAATTTCACATGAGAGAAAAATAATATAATATAATAAGAGCTAACTTGACTGTTCAAGTGGTGTCCAGCAGCAAGATTAATATTGCACATATTAGTAAACAGTGTATTGCACATTGCCATAATTACTGTTACATGCCAGAGAGGTTATCATGCTGAGGCGATCTCAGAGTTCAGTAGGTTTATGGCAGTTGGGAATAGGCTATCAGTAACTTTCTACCATGTTGTGTTTACAGGAGCAAGAGGAGCTGATGGCAGCATCATTCCAGATGTGAAGCATGTGGCCCTGCCAGCTCCTGCAGCTTACTGCTTTGCTCAGCCTTTTGTTTTCACTTTTACTACTAAAACTCTACTGATTTCAAATTATGACAGTGGATTCAGGTTCTCTTATTATATTGTTACAACACATTTCTTCAAGCCATACAAAACAACTTTTACATTTGTAACCTTTTATTAATGATGTTTCCATGAATGCAAGATATGATTTAGGCTATCAGAAGGCCTGTAGAAGGTGTTGTGGGCACAGGTATTAGGAGGCTTACGCTGTATAGGAACCTATTTACTACAGGTGCATTCGATCAGCTCTGAGACCTCAGAGTTTGCACAATTAATGTGAATTAATGTGAGCTGCAGCCTCCGGTACTGCAGCTATATAATATTGTCCTGTTTTTCTAACTAAAAACCCACTTATGTTGATGTTCAAGCTCATTACATTTAATAAGGCACCCAAGGGTATCTGCTGCAGGTTTATCAAATGTAACACACAAAGCTACACAAATCGGACACATTAAATATCAAAATCAAAATTTTTCTGTTTTGGTTTTAAAACAGAAAAAACAAAAAACAACTTGGTTTTCTGTTGAATTGTATTATGTTCACTACTATGTCACTCTGTCACTGACAGTAAATAAGATACATTGATCCCCCCCCCCCCCACACACACACACACTCTCTCTCTCTCAATATGTTTTTCTCATTTTTCTCCCTCTGTGTATGTTACAGCTAACCCAGGCTATGGGGTGAATTGTAATGTTTTCCTCCTTGAGTCTGAGACCATTCATTGTCTGTCTGTGTTGCAGAGATAACAGTTACATAATTTAATAGCAGACACATTTTACTAGTTTGTATCACATTTTGAACGCACTGGCTTAAAAGATCTCCCAGATACAGACAGAAATGCCTGTATCGCCCGTCTCCCTTACTGCTCAATGTAATACACTTGAATGTCCCTTCAATGTGAATAAAATAATCGATTTTGATGATTTGTTGCTTGATTTTACTGAATTGTTTACTTTTTACTTTTCACATAAAACTTATTTCAATTATTCCTACAAAGCTCTTTGTTCAATAAACAATCGTTTTTAATAAAACAAATTCTTGTGAACTCAATTGTGTGCTTAAAGAGTACCGAAATGTACCCATTTAGCACAGCCAGAGTTTTTACATTTAAAGATGTATCTTCTTTTAAAATTCCAAAAGCATTTCAATGAAGTTAAATACTTTTGTATGACATTAATATTTCACTTCAACATCACTTCTCCGGCTGAAATCAATAGCCTATCTTATGTTCTAAATGTCTAAGTGTAGATTTTGGTGAGCTTAATAGGTAGCCTACGTTTACCCTAAGGTCTTAAACTCACAGCTGATCACACACACTCTAACTTCCTGTGGGAAACTACAGCCTAAAACTAGAACTTATGTATTATCCAGAACAGAAAACAGTTTTCAAAGTTCCACCGGCAGAGTAAAAACAGTCTTTCTTAATTCGCTGTTTGGAGCTGCCAGCGTTGCATAAACCACAAACCACAACCGAAGAAAAAGTGAAAACAAGCTGCGTCTGTGCCGGCGGACAGCCAGAGAAACTTCCTCAACTAACCCGAAGCTAAAGGGACCGGCCATCTTCTTACCGTGCGCGTTGACTCCAGGCAGCGCGTGACCCTCTGTAAGCGTGAACGCTATACGGGAACTCTTGTTATCTCCTTCCTCAGAGGAACAAGCGCAGTCCAAACTGCTAAACCATTCCACTTCTTTCACGGTCAAATCCTTTTTCTAGTTGGGCGCTGGTTGGAGACATACTGTGTCTATTCTGAGAGTCAAGTTTGATAAAAGAAAACCTCGACACTTCCGGTAATCGTTTCCAGAACAGATCCCTCTTAGAGACTATGTTGCGCATACTGACAACAAGGACCAAAATATTGATATATATGAATTCGTTTTCATCAGGAAACATTAAATGACACGGTATTTTTTAGCAGTCGCAAGGATTTACGGTTTAACGTTAATTGACATGTTTTGGACTTTATTCTGAAGGGGAAATGACAGTAGGCTACGTCTGACTCCGAGCTGCGATTATTTTCGTCAAGTGAGATGTCTGAGATGTTGTCGATCAAATACATCACTGAGGCGTTTCAAGTCAAATACCGTTTTTACATTAGTTTAGTTTCAGTTGTGTTTAGTATTTCCCCTGTGTTTATTTCAGATGGGTGTGTCAAGTTGAAACAGTTTTACACTAATTTGTAGTTTTGTTAAATGTTTTACAAACAAAAGTGCCTCTCAGTAGTCTGAAAATTAAGACAATCACAAAATTTCAAAAGTTGAAACACTGCATCCAGGAGTCACCGAAGTACAATTAGTAGGCTACTGAAGACATTCTGTTTATAATCTCCAAAGATAGGCTATATCATTTGTGCAGCACATTTCCTCAGTGTTCTGTTCTCTACAACTGGGTTAAGTAGGTTGATACTACAGGATAGGATGACCTCTTGTGGTACAACAACAAAAGTACATCTTAACGCAGAGTCATGCAAGAACCACTAATGAGAACACATTCACATAAGATTCATTTAAGAGAACTTGTGGAATTCACCAAGTTCTCAAATGTAGAATCTTCTTCTAGGCAAAAACCTTTCTGAGTGGTCCAGCCCTTTACCAGTCATGACCAGGTTGAACTTAAGACCTCTAGGTTCTACTCTGAATGGAATTTGACTATGCAAAAGCAGGTATGGTGCCATGTGAGTGCATACAGTTCAGATAATCTTGCCAGGGCTGTAACCAGGGTTTAAAAATGTGTGAGGTCCAGATTTTTTGTTTTCTTTAACAGAGTTTAATTATGGTCATTCATACCAAAATTACACCTAAACACAACCAAAGTTATACACTACAGTCACACAAACTAATGATCTATAAGGAAATGCATACAAAGGCAAGGCAAGTTTATTTGTATAGCACATTTCAACAACAGGGTAATTCAAAGTGCTTTACATAAAACATAAAAGCAACAGGTAAATATAGAAAAGTTTAAAAGCAACATAGGGAAATTGAAAAAATACACATTAAAAAATAATAAAAGTTACAGTGCAGTGTTAAATCAGGGTTAAAAGAGTTAAATGGAAAATAAAAACAGGCTGAGGGGTTGAGCAAATAATTGAGTTACAATTATTTTGAAAAGAGAATAAACAGGGAAGTACACTTAAAATACTCTCTCTAGCTAGTTTGTACTCGGGTCCATAGCAATCTTTGGGTCCACTGAAACTCCAAAAACCCTCCGACACTATAGAGAAACCAGGACATGTCTGTCCGCAGGCCGCTTTGATCCAGTTATACTCTGGACCCACCTGCATGTTTACAGGTGGACAGAGGTTCCTGCAAATCACTCAGGCGCGAGATTTAAAACCACTTCCTTCACTCTGTTCAATCTCACTCTCATTATCTTTTCACTTAATTACCTACTCATTTCTCACCGTGTAAATATTTAATTAAAAGCAATGGTAAAAAGCTAAAAACAAAGAAAAAGAAAACAGGACAGTAAAAGTTGCAGTGCAGTGTAAGTTATCAATCTACTAGTTAAAGGCAGCGGTAAAAAGAAAAATCTTAAATATTTAATTAAAAGCTATGGTAAAAAGCTAAAAACAAAGAAAACAGGACAGTAAAAGTTACAGTGCAGTGTAAGTTATCAATCTACTAGTTAAAGGCAGTGGTAAAAAGAAGAATTTTAAATATTTAATTAAAAGCTATGGTAAAAAGAAAATTCTTCAGTTTTAATTTAAAAGAACAGACAGTTTCAGCAGACCTGCAGTTATCTGGGAGTTTGTTCCAGATATACGGAGCATAATAACTGAACGCTGCTTCTCCTTGTTTAGTTTTGACTCTGGGGACAGAAAGCAGACCTGCCCCAGACGACCTGAGAGGTCTGGATTGTTCGTAACAAAGCAGAAGATGTGTATGTATTTTGTAATGTATTTTGGCCCCATTCAGTGCTTTATAAACTAACAGCAGGATTTTGAAATTAATTCTTTGACATACAGGAAGCCAGTGTAAAGACCTCAGAACTGGAGTGATGTGATCCTCTTTTTTGGTCTTAGAAAGGACTCGAGCAGCAGCGTACAAAGGGACCTATTGGCAAAAAATTATTTTATTAAAGATTAATTTTGTTCTCTTCGTCTGTGTGTGTGTGTGTGTGTGTGTGTGTGTGTGTGTGTGTGTGTGTGTGTGTGTGTACACATTGAAGGCTTTAACCGCGCAGTGGACACATTAACTACAGGTTGTTCATCATGGTCTGTCTCCCCACTGCTTGTCTCTCTGAAATTGCATAAAAAGAGATACAGACACACAAGCTGTAATCAGGTAATCTTGCTATACTAATCTTCACCACATGCATTAGGCTAAATGTCTCTCAAATGTAGCCTCCAACTGTTGTCACAGGACTATACTGTTAGAATGACGTGCAGACTACATAATGGGCACCATTGTTACTATATTACAACATAAAATACAGCAGGTTAGTGCTGAATTCAGAGGAGCCTCTGGTTAATATTACAGCCTAATAATTTGATCAGGTGGTGTTTGCACTGTTTTGTCACGATTACAGGAGCCACTTTGGCGTGATGTGCAGATTGGCTCTGACAGTATCTAAATAATTATGTACACATAAATCATCCACCCAACCACCATCCAACTAAACATGCAGCACGTGTGACTCACACACATTGTGCTGCAGTGTGTGTGTGTGTCCTGGCTTTTGATCCGCATTCATAAACCTGGACACTTATTTTCATTTCTCTGAGGAAATTCAGGGGAATCTAATCGCACGTTTACTAAGCTCTCAATAAACTCGACATAAAGCAGATGCTGCAAAAAATATTCTCACGCTTTTATTTTGGAGGCACAATAAGAGGAAGTAATTGTGTGAGTAACTGTAGCCGTCATGACTGATATCTATTTTAGCACCAGCCGTTATCATTTTATTTATTTTTAATTTTTCTGCATTGAAATCAATCTGGCCGCAGCCAGACATTTTTGCTGGCGGGCTGGTTATGGCCCGCGGGCCGCCTATTGCCAACCACAGATTAAGACGCTCTGATGGAGCTTAGGATTGATCAGGAGCATGACTGTATGAACCTGGACTGTGTGTGAGACTTTTTGGATTTATAGAAGAACACAGAACATTAAGTAGGGCCCGAGCACGAAAGTGTAAGGGCACCAACGGTGTTTGCACACTTGTCAGAACTGGTGAAAATTGCAACTGGTGAAACCCTGGCCTGGGTGTGGCCAGGGTGCTCTATAGCGCTACCAAACGCACGTCATGGTTCAGACAAAGTTGCTTTGATCTTCATAAGATCCATCCATCCATCCATCGTCAACCTCTTATCCTGTGTACAGGGTCGCGGGGGGGCTGGAGCCTATCCCAGCTGACATGTAAAAAAAGGTGATCAAATGTATTGTACATATCAATTCTTTTGTTTAGTACCATACTCAATAAAGGGAAATGACAGCAACTGCCACTTTCTAAAACACACTTGTTCAGGTAACACAGTGAAAGTATGATCAAACACTGCAACTACAAGTCATGTCTTAAAATTTTACTTTAAATTAAAGTGTGTGTTCAAAAGTTACTTTTTGTCATTTCCCTAAATAGGGTAGTACTTTATGTTCATGGAGCTTCGTCTGATGGGACTGTCACATGCGACTGTCATGGAACTGGGATTTGTGAGATAACGGTAATATGGCGGTTCATTATAAACGTGATGTTCGACATGTAAAATCATAATTTCACTTAACTATTGTCACAACCTGGCTCAACACTAAGTGACAAGAGAGGGAAACCACACAGTCTGTAAATAATATTAATATTATCTTTTAATTAGTAAATTAAGCAAAATATACAGTTCTAGATGTCTGTTAGATCAGTATGTATCCAGTGTCTATGTATAGAACACATACACTCCACTCACATACACTATTTCATATCTTTTTTTGTGCAATAACCCTGTCAACCAATAGAATGCTAGTTGTTGTGCTGAAAAATGAAATGATCCCTGCCCTGTTGCAGGCGCATAGTGCCGCTAAAAAAATTACAAAATCTGAATGCGAAATCAATGAGTCATACTCTCATATTTAAGGACCACACTCTTAAGATAGGAAAATAGCCCCATTAGATTGGCATGCACTTGTTTACATGGATAGACATACACATAAACTGATATTTTTCTACTCCAAAGCCTATAGTCTTCATCAGAAATGTTACTAAAGCTTCATCTCAGTTGCTTTATATGGTAACCATGTCCACAGAAATCAGCTAACAGGAAGCAACTCATCTAATGAAAACTGCAAGTTTTGTAGTCACATAAAAAATCTGACTTGATTTAAGAATGAGTGAAATAGTCAGAAAAAATTAGCAACGGTGGTTGTTTACATGTTCTTTTCACTGTGAATTTTGGTGCCCACACTGCATGGAAGATTAAGTAAATCTACACTTGTGTGCTGGAGAGTAGGGATTCTGCTTTTATCATATGTCATATATGATATATGATAAAAGCAGAATGCATACAGAGGGAGTCCTTTGTCTGATGATATATCATCAACCTCATCCCATTAATGCATGTTACTAACTAAACTTCTCCCCTTTCTGGTAGTCTTGTGCTTTCTCGTCCCTCTCCTCTCTCCTCCTATCACTTCCTGCAGGTGTTTCTGGCTCTGGAGCTGTGGAGTCTGGATCTGTGGTTGCGGGTCACCTGCTGCCCCCGTGTTCCTGCTCGACACCCTCTGCTACAACAACTATTGTTACTTGTCCTATTATTATTATTGTTATTATAATCATTAACATTACGATTGTTATC